AACTGCAGCGCAGCAACTGCAGCGCAGCAACTGCAGCGCAGCAACTGCAGCGCAGCAAACTGCAGCGCAGCAACTGCAGCGCAGCAAACTGCAGCGCAGCAACTGCAGCGCAGCAACTGCAGCGCAGCAACTGCAGCGCAGCAACTGCAGCGCAGCAACTGCAGCGCAGCAACTGCAGCGCAGCAAACTGCAGCGCAGCAACTGCAGCGCAGTAACTGCAGCGCAGCAAACTGCAGCGCAGCAACTGCAGCGCAGCAACTGCAGCGCAGCAGCTGCAGCGCAGCAGCTGCAGCGCAGCAACTGCAGCGCAGCAACTGCAGCGCAGCAAACTGCAGCGCAGCAACTGCAGCGCAGCAACTGCAGCGCAGCAAACTGCAGCGCAGCAACTGCAGCGCAGCAAACTGCAGCGCAGCAGCTGCAGCGCAGCAGCTGCAGCGCAGCAGCTGCAGCGCAGCAAACACTCACCTTCGGCTGCTTGGCCATCAACAGCCGGCGCACTGGACGCTTCCAGTCGTCCAAAGCCACCCAAGAAGTCCTCAAAAAAGGGGCGTCTGGGAGGGAGTCGGCGCAGTAGTCAGTGAGGGTGAGGCCCCTCCTTACCTCCGCGGCCGTTTGCCTGTACCCGCTGCTGCTGCTGCTGCTGCTGCTGCTGCTGCTGCTGCTGCTGCTGCTGCTCTCGCCCTCCCCCTGCGCCGCCCCGCAAGACGCGCTGGTCGACTGCTGCACAGATACTTTGTGCACGAAGCGGCGGTGATTCACTGCAGCGCAGCACAACAAACATGCAAGACTTCTCTTGAACAGAAATTTGGAACTTTGAAAAAAAAGAAAGTTGCAGAAGTTAAATGCTGCAGCAGCAATTAATCTAATCTGTTGTCTGAGGACGGATACAGAGGCAAGAAAGGGTTTTCAAGAATGGGACTTTCAAGAATGGAGTTTTGCAAAAAGTGGAAGCAACAACAGTTTGTGTCTTGAGAACTTGCAGAACATTTGCAGAAGACGAACCACAAAAAGAAACAAACTCCCGCAAACGATCTCTGGCTGGAATTGCATGTTTGTCCAAGAACTGCTGCAGCAGCGAGGCCGGATCGACTTGCTGCTGCTGCTCCTGTTGCGCTGCAGCAGCAAAAACAGCAGCAGCGCCTCCGTGCACGGCGGCGCGGAAGCCGGCGCCAGCAGCAGCTCCAAGCCTCCAAATTGCGTCTATTGTGTCAAAAGAAATGCAAAAAACTTTTATTTTAATCAAAAACTCGAAGATCTTGAACTTGAAGAACTTGAATTACCTTCCGACACTTGAGGCAAGTCCTTCGCGTCGACGCGGCGGTGCCGCTGCAGCGCGCCTGAGGGCCACAGCAGCAAAAAGCACTTGAAAGAAAACCCTAAACCCTAGGGTTTGGATTCTCTGAGTCCCAAACCCTCGAGCCGCGTCTGCGCGGCGCGGTCCGAGGGTTTAGGGTTTGCACGCAGCGACATACACTTCGCCAAACCCTCAACAGCAGCCACAAAACCCTCCTTGTCTTCTGCTGCTGCTCGCCACGCAGCAGCTTCCAACTCTGCTGCTTTCCTCAACTCGGCCTTAGCCCCAGTCCCCGCCTGTTCCTCTTCGTCCAGCACCAGCACCAGGGGGGCCCCCCTGGCTGTGGGGGAAGGCAGGGGCCCCCGGGGCCCCTGGGGGCCCCTGTCGGGGCCCCCCGCAGCCCCCGTTGGCTGCGAAGCTGGCCGCCGCAGCCACGAAGCCATGAGACTCTGCTGCCGGTTCACGCTGGGGTCTGTCTTCTTCTCCTTTTGCTTCTCCGCCTGCTGCTTCAGCCTTTGCTGCAGCAGCAGCAGCAGCAGCAGCAGCAGCAGCAGCAGCAAGTCCAGAAGAAGCCGCAGCGGCAGCTGCGGGGGGCCCCCCAGGGGCCCCAAGGGTCCGCAGGGGGGCCCCCGGGGGCCCCCCGGTGCTGCTAGAAACTGAAACTTTGTACCCTGAGAAGCCCGGGAGTGGTGCGTTTGGGACTTGGACTTACAAGTCTTTGTTCTTCTTTTTCTTTTTCTTTTTCGAGTTTTTCTTTTTCTTTTTTTTCCCTTTCGAGTTCCTTTTGTCTGCGGAGTTCCTCGCGCTGCTCCTCCCGCTGCCTGCGGCCTCTTTCCCTCTCCATTCGCGCATATTCAATCTGCCGCTTTTTGTGTTCTTGCTGCTGCTTCCTTTCTGCTGCTGCTGCTTCCCGCTGCAGCTGCTGCTGCACCCGCTCCCGTGCTGCTGCCACTTCGCCCTCCACGCCCCCACAAAGCGCCTCCCGCAGCTTCTCCAGAGCCCGCAGCCGCCGGTAAAGAGTCTGCGCCAGCCCCCCAAACCCTAAACCCTAAACCCTAAACCCTAAACCCTAAACCCTAAACCCTAAACCCTAAACCCTAAACCCTCGGCTGCAGCCACACAATGCTGCAGCTGAACGCAGCTGGGGCCTGCTGCGCGGCCCGGAGCAGCAGCTGGGGAGAAAGACGTGCTGCTGAAGAGGCTAGGGTTTGGAGGCGAGGGTTTAGGGTTTGTGGCCCGAGGGTTTAGGGTTTGTGGCTGGAAACCCCACCTGCCGCCCCTCCCTTTCCTTGCGAGCTCCCTCCTTAAATGCTGCTGGCAAACCCTCCAGCAGCACACATTCCCAAATCCACAACTTGTAAGAACTTGTGTCTTCAGAGGAGCTTATGGGGGCCCCCTTGGGGGCCCCCGGGGGGCCCCCCTTGGGGGCCCCCGGGGGGCCCCCCTCGCCGTCTATGGGGCGCGCCAGCCCGAACCTGCAGCAGCACGCCCCGCTCTCCCAAACCCTAAACCCTCAGCACCAAACCCTAAACCCTCAGCGCCAAACCCTAAACCCTCAGCGCCAAACCCTAAACCCTCACCGACAAACCCTAGTACCTCCGCACCGAGCATTAACCCCTCCGCGCCAAACCCTAAACCCGCGGCACCAAACCCTAAACCCTCGGCTGCAAACTTTAAACCCTCGGAAGCAAAACCTAAACCCTCGGAAGCAAAACCTAAACCCTCGGCACCAAACCCTAAACCCTCGGCACCGAACCCTAAACCCTCGGCAGCAAAACCTAACCCTTCCTCACCAAACACTAAACCCTCGGAATCAAACCCTAAACCCTCGGCACCAAACCCTAAACCCTCGGGCGCAAACCCTAAACCCTCGGGAGCAAACCCTAACCCTCGGGAGCAAACCCTAAACCCTCGGGCGCAAACCCTAAACCCTCGGGAGCAAACCCTAAACCCTCGGCAGCAAACCCAAACCCTCGGGAGCAAACCCAAACCCTCGGGAGCAAACCCCAAACCCTCGGGCGCAAACCCCAAACCCTCGGGCGCAAACCCTAACCCTCGGGCGCAAACCCTAAACCCTCGGGCGCAAACCCTAAACCCTCGGGAGCAAACCCTAAACCCTCGGGCGCAAACCCTAAACCCTCGGCGCTGCAGCAAGGGGCCTGCCTGCGTCTCGTCAGCAGCACGGGAAGCTCCACTTTGAGGGTTTGAGGGTTTACGGAAAACACCGGAGCATCTCCTGCAGGCCCAGGGTCTGCAAGAGCAGCACTTGCTGCTGCTGCTAAGTCCGACAGCGGCAGCGCAGCACCTTCGCACAGCAGCCGCAGCAGCCGCTGCAGCCGCAGCGCCAGGCCAGTGCCTGCAGCAGCAGCAGCAGCAGCAGCAGCAGCAGTAGCAGCAGCAGTAGCAGTAGCAGCAGTAGCAGCAGCAGCAGTAGCAGTAGCAGCTCTAGCAGCAGCAGCAGTAGCAGCAGTAGCAGCAGCAGCAGCAGCAGCAGTAGCAGCAGCAGCAGCAGCAGCAGTAGCAGCAGCAGCAGTAGCAGTAGCAGCAGCGGTAGCGATAGCAGCGCATGCAACAGGGGCCCGGGCAGCGCGCTGGGGCCGCGCGCCGAAGGGCCTAGGGTTTAGGGTTTAGGGTTTAGGGTTTAGGGTTTGCTACCTTGCGGCTGCTCGCCTTCTCCCTCCACTTCTTCTTCTCCCTCAGGAACCTCCAATTCCTTCTTCGCCTTTATGTAGGCCTCGCGGTTTGAGAGCAAGTCCGTCGGCTGTGCAAAAACCCTAAACCCTAAACCCTAAACCCTAAACCCTAAACCCTAAACCCTACACCCTAGACCCTAAACCCTACACCCTTAACCCTACACCCTAAGCCCGACACCCTTCACCTTACACCCTAAACCGTAAACCCTAAATTCTACAGACTAAACCCTACACCCTAAACCCTAAACCCTAAACCCTGAACTCTAAACCCTAAGCCCTAAACCCTAAACCCTAAACCCTAAACCCTGAAGCCTGCGTCTGGAAGGCTGGCTGACTGGAATTCCTTTTTGGAGGATTTTGTTGATGTCCTCGTCAACACTCTCGAGCTCCTTCCTGTACTTTGCAGGGACAGGAGGCGGTGTTGCTGCTGCTGCTGCTGCTGCTGCTGCTTCTGCTGCTGCTGCTGCTGCCTTTTTGCTGCGGAGCGAAGCCGCTCGCCGGGGCCGCGCAGCTGGGGGGCCCCCCACGCAGGGAGAGGGGGCCCCCTCTTCCCCCTCTGCATCTTCAGACATAAGAGAAATAACAGAAGAGCTGGAGTACCTTTTGCTGCGGCAGCAGCCCTCGGGGGCCCCTGGAGGGGCCCCCGGGGTGCCCCCCTCGGGGGCCCCCTGGGGGCCCCCCTCGGGGGCCCCTGGGGGGGCCCCCTGGGACGCTTCCGGGGGCCCTCTGTCTGGGGTTAGAGCCGCGTCGCCGCAGGGGGCCCCCCCCTTGAGGGGGCCCCCCGGGGGGCCCTCCGGGGGGCCCCCCGCGTTGGCAGTGCTGCCGTCGTTCTCGTTAGAAGGAAAAGATTGGTTTGCTGCTGCAGCAAACGGGTGGCCTGCTGCAGCGGGCGCGGGCTGCGAGGCGCGGGCGGGGGGCTCTCGAAGTGTGGCGGCCCCCCTCATGGCCTGTGGGGCTGCTGCGAAAAAAAGAGAAAAAGACTGCAAAGAGTCTTAAGTTTGAAGACTTTGAGGCGCTGTGGGGGAGAAGAGGCACATAATCGAGGCGGCGAGGGGGGGAAGAGGGTTGGGGGGAAGCCCGAGGGTTTGGCGAGGCAGCAGAAGCGGAAAGCAGCAGCACAGCGGGCAAATGAAGACGCTGCATTAAGTAGGACTTTTATACTAGAAAAATGACGCCGCTATATTTTATTCAACAACTATACTCAGACCCAAACTCTAGGGGGTGTTGATGGGGCTCTCCGATGGTTCACACGAAACCCCACCACCACCGCTGCTGCGCCCAACGACAACCCTTTTAACTGCCTGAAACTAAGTCCAAAAACATTTATTTATTTCTCTTTTTACTTCTTTCCACTCAAACTCGACCCAGGATTGACGTAAGCTGCAAGTCCTGGTGGAAAGCCGAGTCGACGCAGCAAATGTGTCTTCTCCGAGACAACCGCGCCCGCCCCAGCGACCAACTCTCTTGCTAATTTCCATTTCCATTACTCTAATATACTCTCTTTTCAATGTTGTGGGAAATAAATATCTTTATTTTGCTTCAACTGTGTCAGGAAAACCAAACGCTTCTACTGAGACCAGTGTGGCTCTTCGCTGCACAACTTGAACTTACGGGTGTCACTCGCGAACACTTTGGCTCTTTGGGGTCTACTGAAAGCGTTCTAACGAGCATTGGAAGGCGTTCTACCGCCATTTATGGTCTTAAAAATAAACAAATAAGCTGGACTAAATAATTAAAATACTTAATGGGGTCGAATGCGCCAAAAAACAGCATCTGTATCTCCCTTTCCAACCAAGAGCAGCCCCAGCAATGCAGAGAAACGCAGTGCATTTGGGTGGCTTGGTCTTCAGGGTTATCCCTAAGCATTTTTAAATAATTAGTTCGGACTTAAACAAAGACGAGTCGCTTCAAACTTGCTGAAAATAAAGCCCTGCAGCAGCGCGCACTGCTTGGTTGTTTCGCACGGCCTGCGTTCACTGGCTGGGGTGGTGGTGCCCCAGGGTCTTCATTTCTCGCAGAGTGCGTTTGCTCTTAAACAATTAAAAAGACAATGTTGGCATTCGCGTCCGTGCAAGCTGGAGCTCCAGCTCTTCCTTTTCAATGTCTTCCGAGGGAAATGTCTGGGGCCGCAGGACAGGCAAGGACACAGAAAGCTGATTCTTGAAGCCCAAAATCTCTATAAACAAGCTACAAAAGTTCCTCAGATACATCCTCTGCACTCTGGCTGTGGAAAGCGTTCCTCAGCATGGCTGTTTCTGGAACTTATCGTTTCTTTTGACCTACGGGTCGCACCAGTGTATTGGCCACAGCGAAGAGCATGAAGCCAGCAACGGAAACCCACAAAATCATTTCAAATCCAAATCTGCAGAAAAAAACAAAGAAGTGACGGGCTTTACTGAACAATAAGGAACTTGTTCTACTTGTTCTGTGTGAGCCCCCTGCTTTCGTATCTTCCCTGTCACTTCCGAGTTACGTCAACCAGTGTAGCTCTTGAGAGGATTTCTTAAATATTAACGATTAAGCAAAACAAAAAAGGTATTATACTCAGAAAGCTGCAGGCTTACCTCAGTGCAAGCTCTTTGCCGCCTGCTGGGTGGCACCAGTCTATAAAATCCATGACCACGCCGGAGAGCAGCGGCGCACTAAACCAGCCAAACATGTTGTACCTGAGAATAATTCAAAAGCATTACTCAGCAACTTGAATGCAGACTAATTTTGCATATAAAAGGTGCGCATGCAGCTGCAAAGTCTCGAAGAGCGCAGCCATCTAAGCGCAGTTGCACACTGCAAAAGTATGCTTTGTTGTCACAGGTAGGAAGGGCGAGCGATCAGCATAATAATGCAGACTTAAAAGTGTTTTATGATTATTCTGTGCAAAATAAAGACAATTACTTACGCGAATTGACTTAGAGCAGATGAAATGCTGCGCTGGTGGAAGGGAACGCTCGCCAGCTGGATGCCAACGGCGACTGGCACCAAGGCAGCTCCAAAGAAGAGGCAACCCCAGAGCAAAAGTGCAAACAGAATAAAGGACTCAACGTAGATGCAGGTCACAGCTAAAGTTGCTCCGATTCCTGGAAACAGGGCCAAAACAGACACGCATAAGGATATCTGAAACAGATGGTGTTTCCCCTTATGATGACGGGGAAGTGCACGACTGGCCGCGGGCAACGTGGCTCTCCCGACCCACAAAAGCTGCACTGAGTTTAAACATCTGCAAATTCTCACCGGCAAAAAGAGTTGTGACCCTCACAGCCACTCGCTGCTGCCCGCCTCCTCGGTAGCCTCCACAAAGGTCGCAAACATAACCGCCAAACCAAACGCTGCAGCGCAGAGAAAATTAAGCAGAAGCCTCGCTTGTGTTGTTTCCGAAATATTGGCACATATGAGTTTGATTCTTTGCATAATAAAAGGCAAAACTGAAGGGCTGCAGCGGTGGAAATCTCTAAAGGGAATGCACTGCGGGCATACCCTGAAGTTGGAGCGGTAAGGAAGCAGAAGGTGCTCAGAGCGACAACAGAGAGTTTTTGGAAGTGAAGAACGGAAACCAAAAACTCCGTCACCCAAAACTGAATGCCTAAAGGGACGAAGGACAGAGAAACGCAATATGTTCATGATTCTTTTGAATGCGAAGCCAACAAGCTGCAAAACAGCCAGCCAAAGCGTGCTCAAGCCACATTTTACGGACTAGTTTGGGGTTGCAGATCGAAAATGCATGTCTTAATGAAAGTTCATTTATGCTTCTGGGCTTTGAGAAATGAGGCAATGCAATTAACTCTGCAGCCACTGGCTTAGTCTGTTGCCACACCAGTAACTACGAAGTACAAGGCACTCATGCCCATGGTGACGACGACATAAAGGGGATTTCTGAGCAGCGACTTCACTTCAGTCCATGCGGAAAAGAAGTTGTGCATGCAAGACTGCCCGGAGGCGTCCGTTTCTCCAATGGTACTAAGGCCAGTCCTAAGAAGCCAGAGACACGCATTCATGTTTGCTGCTGCACCCCAAGGCTCCTGGCTCCTCAGCCACACACCATGTGCTGCACAGCCGTGGCTTACCTCTGTCTCTCCGGCCTGGCTTGGCTTCTGTCCGGCAAATTCACAAGGGTAGCCGGTAATGCCGCAATCAGCAGCACAACTGGGACAAGCGCCACCGACTGCAGCAAAGCAAAGCGCAAGTTGGCGATCCTTGTTTATATGTGCTGGTACTTGAACTCGCTGAATGGCATCTTAGAGTCTTTTCAGCTTATACTGATTTTCTAAATCGAGAATTGCTGCGCAAGAAATCCAAACTAACTTGAACAAAGAAAGGCGTGCGCCATCCGCTCTCGCCCGTCGCCGCCGTGAAGCGCGACAGAACACCCCCAATGAAGTAGCCGCTGACAGTTCCTGAGAAAATAATAAAATAATGCAATTGCTGGCATAAAGGCTACGAATTATGATCAGCGTGGCCACCGCACTCAGAGCTTTGTTCTATGTCCGATCACCAAACCTTGCAGCTCATATTTCAAATAGCATTCACTTTGACACGAAGGCAGCTGGATCGCTCCCGAATCACATTTTCATTATTTATTGCTCTGTACAAGTGTTGATGGATGTGTCCATGGATAAGCGTGTGGGCCTAAACCCAATTACCTCCAATGCCGGCCAGTTGCGTGTAAGACATCCAGCGCGTCACTTGGCCGTCAGGGGCGTAGTCATCGACCCAAACCGGTAAATAAACCACAGGAACAGCCTGAAAATAGATGCACAAGTACATAACTATTTTTTCGTTCAAAGGTTTGCATTTATTTCATAATGAGTGCCTGCTGTGTGCCCGAAATGCCTCCATTCCTCCTCGGTACTTCTCCGAGAGCAGTGGGAAGCCTACAGACTGAGCACTTCTGCTTCAAACTGCATTCAAAAGGAAAACTTTTTTAGAAGGCGTGTCGTTAACAGGCGCTGGTGAAGTGTACCTGGCAGAGGCCGGTTATGAACCTCGTGAAGTACATCAGCAACAGGCTGTTTGAGCTCGAGAAGAAGAAAAGAGAAGAGGCAAGGCAGAGCAAACTTCCCACGAGAAGCCACTTCGCTCCATAGCTTTGCAAAGCAATGCCTGGGGGCGCAAGTACAAAAGAAAGCAGGCGAAGTTCGCAGCGCACTTCGCCACTAAATCTACGTGGCAGCACTTGATTAAAAGTGACAAATGTTCAGAATACAGATTTAGGGGAACATAATGTTGTTTATTTCCACTTAAGGAAGTGCACTAAGTGTCCTGGCGGCACCTACCGGCGAAGAGGCTGCCGATGATGAGCCCGAAATAGACAAGGGAGCCGAACAGGCTTTGTTCCACGAACTTGATTTGGTTGTTGAAGTTCTTTTGAATTTCGCTGAGAATTGCAGGAATGACTCCGTGGTCGAAGTTGCAAAGAAAAGAAACCAAAATGACGGAAACCAAAACCATTTTCAAAGTGGACTTGCGGCGGTTTCGCCGGTACGCCGCAGCCCCGGGCTCATCCCGCTCCGCCCCGAAAGCCACAGAAGAGCCTCCAGGGGGGGGGCCCGAGGCGTGCGATCTCGCGGGAATATACTGGTTTCCGGCATCTTGAACGCCTTCACTGTATCCGTGGCCTCCTATGTCACTCGCTGTGGCCAAAAACAAACAAAATTGCATTTAAAATGATCAAAAAACACCAGAAAACGAAGCTGGGAAGCGCTACTGAGGGAGGGCTCTGGCCCCCGCAGAAAGAAGGGCGGGAGGCGCGTACAGGTTTGCTGAGGGACCTGCTGGTAGCCTGAGCCCATGTTCATAAGACTTGTGGACCTTTGGGTCCGCGTGTAAGGCAGCTGCTGCTGCTGCTGCTGCTGCAGCAGCAGCTGCTGCAGCGCCGCCTGGTTGCTCGATGGGTGTGCCATTTTCTAGGGGACCGGAGCAGCAGCTCGAGGGTCCGTTCGTTAAGAAGCTATAAAATAGTGCCTGAGTTTCCCCTGATTGTCATGGGGCACGGGCTCCAAGCTGAATGCGCTGGCGAAATGCTGAACTCTTGTCTTCGCTGCTTAGTTGCTGCTGCGTGCAGCTGCAGAGAAGCACAGTCAGCAAGTTTGCAAAAGACTTTCAAATGTTAAGGGCCTTTGCTTTCGGGCCAGGGGAGCTTTCTGAGGCCCCCTGCCCGACCCACTGTGTGGTGCCCAGCCACAGACCGCTGCCGACGCCCTGGCCAGTCCGTAGTGAAGAGGGCTGAGCCCTGTCTCTGCTGGCTTGCCTTCCAGTATAGAGTGGGTTTGCTTCTGCGGTTGTTAGTGGTCTGCCAGTGGAATCTGTGGTGCTTTTCGCTGCTGCAGCCGTTGCCCGTTGTCATGAAGCCCCCAACAGGGCGTGGCGGCGAGGACACGGTATTGGCCCCAGATGGTGCTCAACCTGAGTGTCTATTGCGCAAATTCAAGTAGCAAAATCAAAGAAATGCTGTAAGTTTCCTTCAGCGCCCCGTTCAAGGCAATGCGTACACATACGGTGTACTGGTGTTGGTCAGTGAGCTGCTGCTGCAGCCGGAGAGCTGCAGCAGCAGCAAACTGGGGCCAAAGCCGTAAGGCCACGAGAAAGCAGCGAAGCCTTTGAAATTTCAAACAGAAGAAGCATAAAAGAAGGCAAGGCAGAGTGGGACACACGCAAGAGGCCTGGAGCCCCCGCAGCGGTCGGCAGCACCGCCGCTCTTGGCAGCAGTGAGAGGGCCGGCCCACTTTGGCACATGCGTGCAGTTCTCCTCTTTCCGAAGAAACAGGACATATTCAGCCTTTCTTTGTTCTTCTTCTAATGCATACGTCTAATATTACCTAATGAGGCGTGGGGATACACACACGCGAAGTGCAGCTGCGGGATGTGTAAGCACGACCTGGTTGAGCCGTCGGCAGCCCACTCGACTAAAAAGAACTAAACGAAGGAGTGTAGCCACTAAATCGCCCGAATAATATTTTGAGCCTTTCAAAATAATAGTTGAAGACTTAAACGATTCGAGGAACAGGCGAAGATCTCTCGTGAGGCTCCCTCGAAAAGCAACAGCTTCGACACACTGTAAATAACAAAGAGCTGCCGGCGGAAACTCGCGCCGTAATGAAATAAATATTATCCAGCATTACGCACTTCCCTCTCTCAAGCTGTTTGGAAAAAGCACGCAGCGCCAGCAACGAGGTGTTCTGCGTTTACTTTCCACAGCAGGCCGAGGGCTTGCATGAGTAGAGTCTACGGAAATATCCTCAGTGAAAGAGTCCAAGAAAGCTCAATATCATGAGCCGATGCCTCTTTTAGTCTTTTTGTTGGGCTTTTCGTGACAACCCGCTTCTGTCAGCAGTTTATTCCAGTAGAATAGCCTTCCAGTCGATGACTCACTTTCTCGAGGAAGCGTTTTCGAGCTTCAATATCAGTCTTCAGGAAGCCACTGCCAGATGTTTCTCCTATGGCTCTTTCCAAATTTCAAATTGGAATAACTGTTCTAGCTCGTTGGCCAATTATCTAAGGCCAGCCAGTTCCCATTCACACCATGCTAAAGGATGTTAAGAAGCCCATAGCGGGACATAGCGGGATCTGGTGAGAATGAGACTCCCTAAGCGCTCTCTCTACTCTGATCTTCACTGTTATATTTATTTTTATTTGTTTGGTATGATTTTATCCGGCAGTTTCTTCACCGCGAGCTGCTCTGTTTCGCCTTGTAAGCTGTTCAGCTCTTGCCGAAGCTGGGCAACCTCATACTGCTCTTGCGCGGTTTTGTCTGTAGCTGTGCTGTGAACAGAAACATTTTAAAATTTTGTATTTAATTTGATTGGGGGAAGTTCTAAAGTGCTTAAGTGTCCCTTCAGCTCTTCTGATAGGCGTATTGTGCTGTGCCTGGGGAGAAGGCTGCTCAGTGTTGAGGACTGAGCTCACGAATCTTCCCACGCACTTTTAAAATTGCTGACTTTCCCTGTTAAGAATAAGTCGAAAGGGCCAGGGCTTGTGGAAAATCGCAATCAGGTCTCGTGATCTGCTGACCCCTCCAGAAATAGATTCCTTGTGAGGCAAGTCATTTAAGTACTTCATCGACAGTTCTTGAAGATCAGCTAACACATGTCACTGGAGGCTAAGCTAAACGTGTATGGCGAGCGAATTCGCCCCGCAAAAAGTATCTCTGCGTTGTGTGAACGAATTCAAAGGAAGTTCAAAACCTCTGCCTTCAAATATTGGGTGCATCTGGCGTACATGTCAGACAATGTATTACACTTTTTACCTTCAAGTAGTGCTAAGCAAAAGTATGTGCAAAGCCAGATGGCTGCTGTAGATGCTCTGATTCACCGAATTTTTGGGGGGCTGACGGGTACTTTCAGGATTAGTTGCAAATCCCTGGGAAAGGCAACAAACTCTGGTTTCATCCTTTGCCTCGAAACGACTTTGAAAGCATGCACACTCATTTAGAGCTTTCTGAATCCTCACAGCAGCAGTTATAGCGAACAACATGCCCCCAATCACCTGGGAGGCAGCACTTGACTCCGTTCCCAGCAGTTTACTTTCCAAAACGTTTCAAGCAGCAGCATCTCCAGGGCTCCTGACGCTGACACTAACTGCAAAGTTCGCGTGTGAGCTGGCTGTTTGCCAACTAAGCGCCTGCTATTCTTGCAGGTAAAGGCACTGTCATCCCTGTCATAATTACGAGTACCGTATTCTACTGATCTCGGGAAGCTGAGCTCAGCCTAGAGATAGCGGCCAGCGGCAATATTGACTTTCGGACAACGGGATTACTTTGTTTGAATGAGACCTTTCGGAAACACTTGAAGTTGCACGTGGAATCGGGCTTCACACCTCAAGCTGATGGCCCGTTTGGCACTACGCAGCAGTGTCGAATGGTAATCTTTTTCGCTCACTTTTTTTGCGTTTTCCATCTTATGCCGCTATTTTACGTCTTAGCCAATAGCCTAAACAGGAGAGAATTTGCGGTCGCCAACTGCGTTGAGGTTTAAGGCTGCAAAGGAGAACTCTAGAGCCAAGTACGATTCTAAGTCCGCACAAAACGGGAATTTGCAGAAACACGCAAGGAACAGGCAAAACGGTAAAATAGTTTTCTTGTTTTTGAGGCATTCTATTATAAGCCAGTGTTGGCTGGCCTCTCTAGCCACAGTAACCTGGCTTAGTCTAGGAGAGTTGAGCTCGGAGAGTCACCTTTATGCCAGTAAGTTATCTTAGGCCATTTCATAACACATTTCAGCTTTTAAAATGGACTGAGTCTTGATCTATATGCTAGGTTTTCCATTGCAGTTGTTTTCCATCTTGAACTACTTTAGCCAGCCGGCCACCATTTTGCTTTCCACGAACTTCAGTCTCAAGCCTCAAGTCCAGAGCAAAAGCCAGGCACTGTACAGCAGCATTTGTTTCTTGTAAATGACAGTTTTGGCAAAAATCTCAGACTAATTTCCAAATGCAAGTAAAATATTTGCGTGTGTAATCCTCAACTTGGCAATTTGCGGCAAAGTGCCTCAGTACATAGTGAGGATTCTGCATAGTGATTGTGCTGGCTTAGCTTTCTCAGAAAGTAATTAAGACTCTCCATGGCCACATAGGGATAAAACCGCCCTAGGGGAACAGTGAACAGTTAAAAAGGCCAGAAGCAATATATATTAAACTTGTTTCGGGACTTTGCTAGAGTGTAAATGCCTCTACTCCAGCATAACTTGTTCCGTGCCAAACTCGCTGCTAGACACAGAATGACTGCTGTTGATGGAAACAGCCTCACCCCCCGGAAACCCTAATAGTCGTTATTGTTTTTTCCCTTTCACACCTGTTTGAAGGGCTAGTCCCGTCCCAAGAAGGACACTTTTGTTCCTGCTGTTTCTTTAGTTTCCGGTGTGCTGCGGCACCTGCAGATTGTGCTGCGTAGGGCCTGTGAAGCTCATTTTAGACTTAGCAGCACACTAGCCCGCATAGTTTTACGCAAACTTCAATAAATGCATAGCAGCTGCTCTTGTGAGCCCAGAAGTGCCTAGCTATTAACTCCATTGTTGCATGTTCCCTTGGATGTAAGCGGCAGAGGCCAGCGCAGAGGCCATTCTTCTAAATTTCCCGGAATCCATGCCAAAAATGATCTTGATTCAGATTTGAAACAGAGATATAGATGTGTTGCTGGCTCTTCCTGCTCCTTTAATTAGCGTGCTCAGTAGCTTGAGCCCTACTGCGTGTGGGGCTGGCCCAGGGACTGCGAGAGGCCTCAGGCTCGGAGCCCCAGTGGTTCCCTTCGAGCGTAGTTATGCCTCCGCCCTTGCAGCAGTGATGAATTAAGTTTCGGAGCATTCGAAGTTTGCAAGAGAAAGGTCTTAGCTCCTGCAGACCTCACAGCAGTTGCCCCCGCAGCGGCCCCCCCACACGGGGCCATCGAGTTGTGGGTATTCCTCGCAATCTGAACTTCCCGTCTTCTCGCAGACTTTTCGAGTTTTTCCTTTCGTATATTTTGGGCCAGAAAGCTGCGCGTGAGGAGCCAGGAGTCCCCCCGGCGCGTGGCTGAGAGCTGTGGTTTTGTGCAGCTGGGATCCTTGGGTGTCGTCCTTCTGTGTGGATTTTTGCTTCTTTTGATTTTCCTGAAGGCCCGCGGCTACTTTCGCATTTCTGAGGGCATTTATGTCTGTTGCAGCAACTGGTGTGGTCGGTTGAGGGGCATTTGGCGCGCAGTTTCCACAATGTCGAGCGAGGTGTTCCTGCTGTTCGAGGCGGCGCCGGGGCTGCTGCTGCTGCGGGTGAAGGAGTGGGACAGCATAGCCCAAGACACTGACGCTGTGCAGGAGGCTTGCGCAGATGCACAGCGTTTCAAACAATTGGTCTCTTGCGAGGCCTTTTACCCTTTTGCAGATGCCGCAGAGGCTCTCGAGACGCTGCTGGGGGTGGCGGGGGGCACTGTGCCTCCGTGCATGCAGAAGTTCCTGGAGCTGCACATGCCTGCTGCTGCGCGGGGGGCTGGCAAGAAGAAGAAAGCTGCTGCAGCAGCAGCAGCAGGAGCAGGCGAGTGCTGCCTGGGGGTTTGCGACCCCGCTCTCGGGAAATCCCTCGGAGATCTCGGATTCAAGATCTTGTACAACCCCACGATGCTGGAGCTGCACAGGGGAGTCCGCATGCACCTGCAGGCGCTGGCAAAGCCCCTCAAGTCCTTGCCTCTGACCAAGTTTCAAGTCGGGCTGGGCCACAGCTACAGCCGCGAGCTCATGCAGCTCGACCCCCGCAAGCAAGACAAGCCGATCATGCAGTCCATAGCGCTCATTGACTCTCTGGACAAAACCATCAACACTTTTGCAATGAAACTCAAGGAGTGGTACGGCTGGCACTTCCCGGAGCTCCTCAAGATCGTCCCGGACACTGAGGCTTACTGCAGAGTCGTCTTGGTGGTCAAGCAGAAGGAAGAATTCGACCAAGAGGTGACTGCTGCTGCTGCTGCTGCTGCTGCTGCTGCTGCTGCTGCTGGGGATGCAGATGCGCCTGCTGCAGCACGCGCACGACGGGCTCCGGTGGGCTGGCTGGGTCTTTGGCCGCAGCTGCAGCGCCAGCTCCTGCTGCTGCTGCTGCTGCTGCTGCTGGTTCGAGGGAATCGCTGCAGCCTGCATGCATGCGTGCGAAGAAGCTGTTGGGGCTGCAGTGCATGCACTTGCTTGTCTGCCAGGAGGGGGGGGAGCAGCTGCTGGCTGCTGTGGGCAACAGCGAGGAAGTGGCAGCAGAAGTTGTGGCCTCCATGAAGCACTCAATGGGCCAGGAAATATCTGCAGAGGACTTCGCAAACATCGAAAGATTTGCACAGCAGGCAAGTCGACAAAGACTGCCTCGCGATCTGCTGCTGCAGCCAGCCCCTCCAGCAGCAACAGCAGCACTGCAGCAGCTGCAGTCGAAAGTTCTATTGCTGCAGCAGCAGCAGCAGCAGCAGCAGCAGAAGGATGAGGTGTCGGAGCAGTGTTCCTGTGCGCCTTTCATGGCTTCCTTCTGCTTGGGATCTTGTTGGTGTTTGCGCACACCGTTGTTTCCCGCAGATAGATTATATTATAATTTATCTTTATTTGATATTTAATTGTATTTCTTTTATTGCTGACACTGCAGATCTTCTGCTTTCCTGCGGGTTCGCTGCAGGTGCTGCGGCTGTGCGAGCAGCGGCGGGCGCTGCAGGAGTACCTCAGCGGCAAAATGGATGTGGTTTCGCCCAACTTGAAGGCAGTTGTGGGCGAAGTGTTGGGGGCTCGGCTTATATCGCACGCAGGGGCTTTGGTGTCGCTCGCCAAGTACCCGGCCTCTACGATTCAGATTCTGGGGGCGGAGAAGGTGAGGCGGGGGTGCAGAGTCGGGCTGTTAGCGTCTACAAAGGGATATAAAAGGCTATTAAGATGCATTTAAATGCAAAATTGTTGGCCGTGGACAGGCTCGGGTGCGCAGTCAAGTTTATTTGCATGCGCCTTGTGCTAATTTCCTTAAGACAGTACATATTTCGCGTGGCCGTCTGCGTGCATTGCCGGAGTCGTGCCATGGTAAATGCCCCGTCGGATTGCTGGATAATGCAGCAAAAGTGTTGTTCATTTTTATTCTAATTTTTGGGTTTTGCTGCTTAATTATGTCTCGTGTTTCAGGCTTTATTCAGAGCCTTGAAGGCACGCAGCGGCCGCACCCCCAAATACGGCCTTTTGTTCCACTCTTCTTTTATTGGCAGAGTGCAGCAGCAGAAGCACAAAGGCAGAATGAGCAGGTGCGCCGCCTTGGGGGGTATATAAAGACATATCTGCAGCAACTCGCAGCCAGCTGGATGGCGTGCTTGCTGCTGCTTCCGCTGCTGCTGCTGCTGCTGTTCTGCTCCCTTTTCCTTCTGTTTAGCCCTTAAAATGGAGTCAAATGCCATTAATTTTGAATATCTGTTTCCCACGGGAGGCTTTTTATGCTTGCTTTCAGGTATCTGGCCTCCAAGTGCGCCCTGGCCGCCCGCATTGATGCCTTCAGCGATGAAGCTGATCAGCCATCTGGGGAACAGCCGCGGCAGCATGTCTTTGGCGACAAGTTGAGAGAGCAGCTTGAAGAAAGGCTCAAGTGTGTTGGCTCTGCATTCCCTGCTGCTGCTCGCGCGGCTAGGTTTGTTGCAGCAGAGGGCTGCTGCATCCCCTGCTGCTGCTCGAGCCGCTAGGTTTGCTGCAGCAGAGGGCTGCTGCATTCCCTGCTGCTGCTCGAGCCGCTAGGTTTGCTGCAGCAGAAGGGCGGCTGGCTTGAGAATGCCAACTTGCTGCTTTAGACCGCTTTGACGCGTTTCTTTGGTGCTGCTGTTGCTGCTGCTGTTGCTGCTGTTGCTGCTGCTGCTCAGATACTTGTCCGACGGCATAGTGCCTCGAAAGAATCTGGATGTGATGAGGGAAGCAGCAGCAGAAGTGGAATCCCAACGCGCTGCTGAGGCGAAGGCTCTGAAGAAGGCCAAAAAGAAGAAGGCCAAAGAAGAAGCAGCAGCAGCAGCAGCAGCAGCAGCGGAGAATGGGGAAGAGGCCGAGGAGGAGGAAGTGCCCAAGAAGAAGAAAAGACATGCAGAGCAAGAAGCTGTGGAGGCTGAGACTGCGGAGCCGGCGGGAGAAATTAAGAAAAAGAAAAAGCACAAGAAGCATGCAGAAGTGGAAGCAGCAGCCTAAGCAGCGCCAAAAAGATAGAAATTAAGCGAGAAAAAGGGAGACCCGCAAGAGAGGGAAGAATATAATAGATAGAAAAAGAATATAATAGATAGAAACGCGAGGAGGCTGAGTACTAAGCGCATGCATGCACCGAGAAGTCCATTCAAGCCACGAGTTGCGAGGCAAGACGAAGCCGTGAAGGTGTTTATCGTTTGTTTTTGGTCGTTTCTCTGAAGAATTAAAAACTGAAACAAAAGAAGTGGAACGCATGCAGCGAGCTCAATGCAGAAAGCAACTGCAACAGGTGCTGCAGCGCTTCCCAGCAGCGGCTGCTGCAGCAGTTCGCGCCAGCAGCAGCTGCGCCTGCTGCAGCATTCGGCTGCAACGGTTTGCTGCGGCGTCTTTTTGCTGCTCGGGGCAAGCCGTAACTCTACTCTTTTTGTTGCGTAAATTGTCTACGCTAAGGCGGTGCATGCGCAGTGCATGCTGCGTAAATTGCTACTGAATAGATGCATGCGCAATAGTGCATGCATGCATGCACCCAGTGCACTGAGTTCTAGGCTAGCTAGGCCACCGCAGCTAACCATAGCAAGCAGAGCCAGGCCCAAGGGCCTTCAGGCTTGCCCACAGACAGTTATTGAGGGAAAAAGAGCTGGGGATTCTGTGGGCTTCGGGTGTACAGGGAGCTGAGTACAGTGACTACGGCCAAGGTGGTGTTTCCCACGCATTTGCATGAACAGTTAACACTTGAGAATATATGCTGGTGGCGTAATATGTTTAAATGTATTTTGAATACTGTTTGTTGAAGCAAAGGGCGACGACCCCGTCGGTGTTCGCCGGATGGAACACCTGAGACAAGTGGTGTGGCTGCTGCAGCTGCTGCAGCTGCTGCTGCTGTTCGCTGCTGGCGTGCTCGTGCTGCTCCCTGCATGCATGCGTTGCGTCCGCTAAGTAACTTGCCCGTTGGCTACTTGCTCCTCAGAACCTACATTGTCACCGTCACGCCGACCTCAAGAATAGCTTGCCGCGCCGCGGCGCGGCTGTGTCCAGACGATGCTGCGTGCTGCAGTTGCTGCTGCTGCTGCAGCAGCAGCAGCAAGCTGCTGCTGCTGCTGCAGCAGCACAGCAGCCCACGCAGTCCCAGCAGCCCTCGCTGCTGCCGCCCCTCGGCAAGCCTCCAGCCACTCGTGCTGAGTGCCGCTCTAGCCTCGCTGCAGCAACTTAGCAGCTGCTGGCAGCAGCTAATTTCCCTCCCCGCCAAGCGCCCGGAGTCACAGCTCGCCTGCGACCGGCTAGCAGCTAGCTATCGCTAGGATCCGGGGCCCCATGCAATCGCTACCTCACGGCTAGCTAGCCAGCCCGGGAGCCAGCTAGCTAGCTAGCTAGCTGGCAAGCCAGCTGGAGCTCGCGCAGAGCACGCAGCTATAGCGTTGCAACAAGAGCTCGCCGCAGCGGTGCATGCATGCAAATGCAAGCGAGGATGCACACACAATAGGGGATGGGCGGTGTTGAGGGAAGGCTCAAGCAGCCTAGAATGGACTAAATTTCGTTGACACTTTTGCTGTCACAGCACTTCCCTCTTGAGCACAGAGTTACGCAGCAGCGCGGCAAGCAGCCGCACGGACACTACCAACCCGCCGAGGTGGCTAGCTGGGCAAAACTAGCTAGCTAGCTAGCTCAGTGGCTAGCTCGCTGCACTTGCAATGGAGAGGGGGGCCCCCTCCAGGGGCCCCCGCCGCCTCCATATTGACACTTCCCCCTAGCCAAGAGGGCGGCGGCCCGAAATGGGGGCCCCCGTCTTCCCTTGCGTAAGCGTCGCGTAACTGTTGGTGCTGCTTTACTTGTTAATTCCCTTTTTCTTTTCCACAGGCTTCAATATCTACGGGCAAAGACAGCGAACAAGCAGCAGTCAACGCGCAGAGCCGGATCTGCATGCAAGCGCCGCTGTTTGCAAACAAAGAGAAACAAAAATAACGCAAACTAAGAAAAAGACAGGCCCACCTGAAATGAGCACATCAGAGTCTCGTCAACGGACATCATCGCGCCCGCGTTGTCAAATTCACCGCAGTAATTTGGGGCGCTGAACAGAGTCACCAGTTGCCTCTTGGCAAAGAACTCGTAGCCATCCTCCACAACCTGCAACAAAAAATGACATTTAAAAGCCCCATTCCAAAAAGTGACCTCTCAAGTGACCCTAATAGTGACTCTAACTAAACCCTGAAACCCAGGAATCCCTGAACACGACCAGCTGGAGGCCGAGCTCGCACAGTGCCGCACATAATGCATAAAAAACAAACAAAAAAAGATAGAGTTGCGCGACAAATAGCAAAATATGTTTAGCAATAAAGTGGAAGCTCCGGCACAGCAACGAAGAACGAGAAGCAGAGCACCAATAGACTAATCAGCATGCAGGAAGCGAAAGCACTTGCTCCTAAAAAGGAGAAACGACACAAAATAGCAGTTGCATGCGCGTCTGCGAGCAGCAAATATGCAGTGAAAACAGCAAAGAAACACAAAAGAGCAAAATCGAGAAATGGTGATTAGCACTGCCACCATGGCCAGCGTACTAAGCATACATATATATAGCAGCAGCAGCAATACTAGCGACATATTGTGGTAATAAATTTAGTCCAAAGCTGCACCTGATGAGCGCGGCAGATAAGGTCTAGGTCGTGCTTTCGTAAGAAGTTGTGAACAACGTCTTGGCCAAAAGTAAACGAAACCCCTCTGTCGTTTTCGCCCCACCCCGCTATTTCCTTTTCAGGATCCGACCACAGCAGGTCACACAAAAGGCCTGGAAAACAGCAGACAAAGAAAATGAGAAGTTCAGACGAAAAGCCAAATGCTTTAAGTGCCCACAGCCACAGCCATCTGGACTCCTTCACCTTCGCAAAGGCATTTTCAGAACGAAGTGCAGAACAAACGCATGCAAATAAACTAAAACAGACCCTCCCCCGTTCACTAAGCTTGACAAGAAACAGAATTACATCGAACAGAGAGCACTGACAATTATTCTAGCTTTCTGTTTATCAAGGAGCAGCTCGCTCCCCTCCGCGTCCGCCGGATGCCGCTTTATCCATCCCCAACATTGTGAAGTGTATTTAAAAATTAAATTCACAAATTTTGCAATTTAAAAAGAGCAAAAACGGCAAGAAGTCGGGGATTAGTGCTTACCCGTATCGGGTACGTCTGTTGGGCGCACTATGCGCCTGACTTGGTCCATAGAGTTAAGTTCTGGCGAGAGGCCGCCGTGCATACAAAGGATCTTTTCGTCTATTATAGCTGCGACTGGAAGACAGTTAAAACAATCCGTAAAAGTCTTCCACAGCTTAACGTTGTACCGCCTCTTGCCTGAGCGCACAGAGCCATTCAGAGGAGGCGCGGCAAAGCCCGGATTCAAACTGCCTGGCTTTCGCGGCCAAATGCACTTCACTGCAAAGCCCTCGAGCCGCTTGCTCGTGGTCTCAGAGATATCCCGAAAAGCAGCCACAGAGTGCATGCGCAGCAAGAAGTCCACTGCTTCTGCAGGCTGTGCAAGGGAGTCTGCAGCACTAGAACTGCGCAAGTAAGACAGCCCTAGAGGCGGCTGCAGGCCCCCAGGACAGCAGGGAAGGCAAATTTGAACAAACTGCAGGGTAAAATAGGAACTAAGAGCCCCAAGAAAGCAGAAAGAAGTGCAGCGTGGGCAAAAGCAAGCTGCAGCTGCAGCTGGAGCAGCGCAGCTGCCTGCGAGGCGCCGGCAGGCGCAGCTAAGTGCAGCAGCAGCAGCAGGAAAGTGTCAGCAGCAGCAGCAGGAAAGCCGGAAAGGAAAAAGAGTTGATTTGGGGCTGCGAGTGCATGCATAGAGAGACTGACATTCGTCGTAGAAGCCGTAGATGCGGTTGATCGAGGCGCACTCGTGGTTGCCTCTGAGGAGGAAGAAGTTCTCGGGGTATTTGATCTTGTAAGCCAGCAAAAGACAGATAGTTTCGAGGCTCTGTTTGCCCCTGTCGACGTAATCGCCGAGGAAAAGGTAGTTGGCCTCCGGGGGAAAGCCCCCGTACTCGAAGAGGCGCAGCAAGTCGTAGTACTGGCCGTGGATGTCGCCGCAGATCTTGATCGGGGCCTCGAGTTCTAAGAGAATTGGCTGCGCTATAAATATCTCGCGGGACTTCTGACATAATCCCCTGATTTCTGCTTCGGTGAGCTGCACGGGCTTGCCGGGGCGGCTGCCGCGGACCTCCAGCAGCTTGCTGATCACCGCGTCCACGTCCACGTCCGTTGCTGCTGCCATTGCTGCGGAACTCAAGAAAAGAAATAATAATCCAAAAACCAACAAGTCCGAAGAGCAGACACAGAAGGCCGGCTCGCGCTGCCCGCGAGAAGCCAGCGGCCTCAGCTCAAGCACCCAGCCGCGGCTGGCTTTCCGGCTCCGGCGAGAAAGCAGCAGCTCGCGCGGAAACGCAGCAGCAGCAGCAGCAGCAGCAGCAGCAGCAGCAGCAGCAGCAAAGTGGCTCCCAGTCCCAGCCGCCTGGCCCCGACTACCCCAGCAGACTGTCAGCAGCTCCGAACCGAAAGCCTGCTGCCCCTGCCAGGCATATCACGAGAAAAAGAAGCGGCGCTGCTGCAACGGCGCTGCTGCTGCTGCTGCTGCTGCTGCTGCTGCTGCACAGTGCGTACAAGTGCGCCCAGTTTTCGCGCATGCGGTGAGCCCTCTTCGGCCGGCGCTCGTTGCTGCTGCTCGCTGCTGCGTGCTGCTGCTTGCTGCGGCTCGCTGCTGCTGCTGGCCGGGGGAGTTCTTTGCTGCGCGGCTCCGGGCTTCCTGCGCGGCGCGGCCTCTCTGCTGCTGCTGCCTCGAAGAGCCCCTTCCAAGGATCCGCAGGCGACAGAAGAGCAACTCTGCAGCGCTAGGGGTCCGCAGAGGAGGGCTGGGCACTGCTGAATGCGCTGCGGAGTTGCATGCGTTTGCAAAACACTGAAGAAGCTGAACAGCCGGAGCTGCTTGCTTCCTGAGCAAGCCGAGCTGTACCTACCGAGGGGAGTCCGCAACTGGCACGGCAAGTCAAGTGCTTCAGCAGTTGACTCGACTGCCGCGGGAATGAAGGCAGTGAGGAGGTGAGCTGTTGCTGCTGCTACCAGGCAAGGAGCAGCGAGGCGTCCGTGTGCTGCGGCTGATCCGAAGAAGGCAAGGAAGCTTGACGAAACGGTAGCATGGTCAAGCAAAAGGGCCTATTAAAAGGAAATGAGGGCTCTACGCCACACACAAACTGCTGCCGTTGTTGCTGTAAAGAGGACCCGCGAGAAGCCGCTGCTGACAGTGCGCCGGCAGGGACAGGGAGGCTCCGGCTATGCTGGGCAATAATACGACGCTGCTGGAAAGGTATTAACAGACAAAGCCGTTCCAAGGAAGAGCCGCTAGTAGCCAGTGCCGCGCTGCACGTAGCGAGAACCTCCCGTGCTGCTGCTGCTGCTGCTGCTGCTGCGCGTGCCGATTGCCACCCGGGTGTGGCTGCTGCTGCGGCTACTACTGCTAAACCTGGCCCCGGCGCCTTGCCCTGTCTGCTGCTTAATACACCGCGGGATGAGATAAGAGAAATGCGTAGAGGAGATATAAGAGCCCCTGAAACGGCAGCAGACTGCAGCGCCACGCCCCGCCTTTGGGCCCCTAGCCTGCGGCTGCTGCTGCTTGCAGCAGCAAGTACCGTCGCCTGGCTGCTGCTGCTGCTGCTGCTGCGGCTGCTGGGCGCACATTAACCCTACACCTCGAATTGCTCCAGCGTTTGGAAAATGCATTTCCTTTTTGTATTTTATTAACCAAAAATTAAGCAGATAAAATGGCCGCTTTCGCCAGTACGGGCTGCTGTGTGCCCTGGATAGCGCGGGTCCGTTCCCAGTCAGCGGGGAGGCAACCAGCGACAGTTTTTGATCTATACAAGCTCGTGCATCCTCTTGATCACAAATACAATGAAAGCACCCAGTGTCTTTGCGTTGCCTCCAATCACGAGATCGTATCCCTATAGAGCAAAGCTGCACTGCCACCCCCGGCGCTGCCCGAATGGGCTTCACTAGCTGGGTTCTAGTGACGAGTTTTCATGCTTTTCCGCGCTGCAGCACCCAGAGCCTCTCCAGTTGAGTCCCTGAAGCTGCATTCTGCTTCGCAGCTGTAGCTTTGGGCCAGCTTTTAGCCCGGAGCTGCGGGCAGCGTGATAGGTGTCAAGGGGAAGTCAGGAGTTGAACGAAGCCTGCAGCAGGAAAGAAAGGAATATTTCCTTCTTTTCTGCTGCTTGCTTCGGCTGCCTGCAGAGCCAGGGGCCCCGTACATTTAGAGGCTTCAGGCAAGTTGCTGGTTTTCAAAAGTGTGGCTTCTTGGGCCGTCAAAGTGGCGCGGCTGCAGCAGCTTTCCGTGTACAGAATTCTTTCTTGTGCTCTCCCGCGCATGAGCCTGTCACCGGGAAACGCGGAGAAAGCTGTGTGATTAGTCTGCAAGTTTTGCCACTCTTTGCATGCTTTAAACCCAATTATTAAAGCACGAACAGCACGGGCACAAATAAGATTCAGTCTTTTTCTAGAAACTCGCCACAGCCAGTGTCAGGGGGTCCCACGGAGGCCCCAATGGCTGGCTGCGGGCGAAAGTGGCTGCAGCAAAGCAGCGCTGCAGCAAAATCGGAGGCGCTGCAGCACTTCGCGGCAAAACCCCAACCAGGCACTTTCTCAGAAACATTTAAGCATTTCCTGCAGACTTTGTTCGCTTTTTTCGTTCTTTTCGGCATGAAAGACTTATGAAATCGGGTGCGGCACTGACTTGGTGTTGAGTTTCTTCTGAATTCTTCACAAAGTGCGGTTTTGGCTCTTTCTGTCATTGTTCTATGCACTCAGTTTTGGTAAGAACTGCCTGGCCAGCCTTATACTGCAAAATGGGCTTCTTTTGCTTCCTGAGGGGCCCCTAAAGCGGTCTTTTTATATTCACTAGCCTACAGACCAGCCTTAGCGGCCTTTCACCTTTGTTCATGTGCTGTGCGAGCTGAACTACTCCAGTCTTAGTGGCTACAGTTGCATGCTTTCTCGTATTTGCAAAAGGCCTGCAAGGCCAGTGGCCCTGTGAGTCTCGCTACGTTCTGCTGGACCCTTTTAACTCCAAATGGCTCTTCTGAGGCCTCAGTTGCTTATTCAATAACTCGGGAAAGTACACTGGGGCCTTGGGATTGCTGCCTTTGGTCGTTTCTCCATCACAAGATGGTCATTAGACATTGTTGCATCACTTAAACTTTCTTGTTCGTGTTTAGTTGAGGTTTTATCCGCTGGATTTGTATCCAAGCTCCGGCTTGGCCAAGCGGCTTTCTTGGGACACTGGCTTTCAGAATTCACGCTCAAAACGATTCAAAACATTCTCTATGCGCTGAGACAAAAATGAATTGGAAATTGGGATGAGCAGAGCTCTTCCAGAGAATACGAGGGCGAAGCTCGGGGCAAATATGGACCTTAGCCACAAGCACAAAATAAGCGGTTTTGTGGAAAATGTCAAATTGAAATTATACTTCACCGAGCTTTCCCTTGTTCATTATTAGTAGTGCTGATGCCGAGTTCTTAAATTTCACTAACCAGCTTTTCAACAGTGTTCTGAGAGGTTTCATCTGCGCTCCAAGCCTATATAATGCTTCCAGTTATCTGCATCTGGAACAGCTTTTCACAAACACTTTCAAATAATATTTCATCCATTTTTATTGAATTGCATTGGCATTTGGGTGTACTGTTGTCTGAGACCAAGATTATGGCGCCAGCATTACAATTTGGCCTCTATGCTGCTGAATTATCCCCCACTTAATTAACACTTTGTCATTTTCTTTGCTCCAGTTTTGCTTTTGGCTTCCAGATATGTGCATTTAGGACTTATTAGTTAGTTCAAGGCCAGTGTAGCACAGAAAGTGCAGAATTCCAGACAGGAAATGCACATGTGGCGCCGGTGTGATAGCAGCATCGGACTATAAGTGCACTTTACAAGCAGCAAACTCTATGGGGTTTAGAAGGCTGAATGGAAAGGATTTAATGCATAATGCAATCAGAAAGGAGTAGCTTTTTTGCTTTCTCTCTCCGCATTGCCTCCCATGACAATTCCAGATTCCCCGGTCTCAAAGAAGACCTTCGTGAGCTCAGTAGACACGGGCCTTACGAAATATCCGTGAGCTCAATAAAATGTGAATATCCAGCTCAATATTACGTAAACAAACATAATATGGCTTAAGTTTTAGTGGCTACATTGCATTTCGACACTTAGAAGAAATCCAAGTTGGCTTCAGCCAACTGCTGTAGCAGATTCGCAAGACTTGAAATTCGGAGCTGGTGGAACTGCTGCTGCACTTAACAGCTCTCGGATATTATTTTCCCCAATTGTTTTTATTTAGAACTTAGCGGGTCATACTGCGAATACGCAGCGCACAGACCTTATCTGGACTCAAGCGGAGTTCTGCCCCCACTCTGGTCGAAAATGCCAAACATTTTAGAAACGCCGCTGCCACTTTGCATTCCGGTGGCTTTAGATCAATTTGTCTTTGCCATATATTTAAAAAAACGTTCTCAGCTTGATCAGAGGCCCATTTGACTCTCGGCATATTTTTAAATTTCACCAAATCCACCATTACTCACTGGCAGACCAAGGCAAGGAATGTTTCATTTTTAGTGGCCTGAAGTGTTTTTGAAGCTTCCTTTACTAAAGATAATGTATATACCAGTTTGGGAGGCCTATAAACGTCCGGAACATTGCTTTGTGTTAGACCAATGGTCCTTTTTGTATCTTCGTGAACAGTTGTAACCACTGAGCACCTTGGAAACAAGCAAAGATTCCACTGTAACTGCTAAAGTCACTCTATTAGAACTAAATGAGGCATTTGGAGGGGAATACTTTGTAACACTTTGTTGTGCGCCAGAAGGCTTCAGTGGATCTCTTGCCTTGGGCAATATGAAGTGAAGTTGTCTTTTGAATTCACTCTTTTCGGGACAGTATATCTGCGTGCCTTTCCCACAGTTGAGTTTACGAAGGAAAGCTCACTTTTTTCTCATTCTTTGCCTTCAACGTGTGGCCTCAGTTAATGTTTGCGAGTTCATTAGAAGTGGCAATCGATCGGGAAATTACAAGCGAGCAACACCTTGCGTCTCCCAACTAGCCAATTCTCCGGTCTTTTGATTCTCTTTTTCACGCAGAATAATGCATTTTCCTGATTTTTCCACGGGCATGCTTTTCCAGTTTAGGCTTCATGGCTACACTGTGTAATTCTTTCTTCACCAGACCTTATGAGGTCACCTGCGCAGTTGCAGAACACAGGCCAACTTCTGTGTGCAGTCGCTTCGCTGGAGGCCTTCCGTATCGTTTCTAGCTATCTCCAATTATTCATTAAATGATTATTGTTTATTTTGCACAATTTTACTTATTTTTGCAGCATCGCAGTCCAGTTGATGGGCGGCGTTGACATGCGCGTGAGCTGCTTTGTGTTCGTGTGCAGCCTTCAGATCTCGCCAGCTCTTTCTTCCGCAACTTCGCCTACTTTTCGCAATAAAACTTTTTAATTACAAAATGAGTTTGCATAAAGTCAGCGTGTAAGCACGGAAACCCAAACTTGCTTGCACTTGCTTCAGCTTGTCAGACCCAACATGAACTAGTGCTGCACTAGGCATATCAGGAGCCCCACTGCCATCGAAAGCTGCCAAATTTCGAGTTTGTATTTGCTTTGCTTGTCATTGTGGCTCTACTGCTGCTTCTTTTGCCCTCTTTGGCAGCAGTTTCGCTGCTTTCCTTCGCAGCTTTATCTCCAAAAGCTATTCAGCGAGTAGCGCAAGAGGTAAATTCGCCGGAGAGGCTTTTCACACGCCACGCATTTGCTGCCGCGGCCTTTTCTTTACAGCTTCTGCTGCTGCTGCAGTGGCTGGGCTGCGTAGAAAGTGCTGCTGGGGAAACTCTAGCGGGCCACCTTCATCTAAGGCGAACCCATTGCTGCCTTTGAAGCTTTCTGCCTACAAATCAAATACCCAGCATAGCAAGGGAAGAGGGACCTGCAGAATGCGCTGCTGCTGCTATTGCTGCTGCTGCTGCTGCTGCTGCTGTTGCTGCTAATCGCGCACTTCTCGCTCCCTGTGGCGCTGCGAAATCCCCCTTCAAAGGGAGGACATCACGGGAGGATCTTCTTGCCATAAACTCCCTCTGTGGCTCTAAACTGCTGCTAATTTGGCTGAGCTTTCAAAACAAATGTTTGCTGCTTCCACTAGCATGCAGAATGCTGCTGCTTGTGGGTGCTGCAGCGTCTGTGGGTAATTGGACTTCTCCTCACCTTCACTGTTTTGCTGCTGCCGCCGGAAGCTTTTGCAAATAAGAAGCTGCGCCACTTGTGCTTCAAAGTGGCTTTTATTATGCCATTAAAGAGCAGCAGCAGCAGCAGCAGCAGCAGCAGCTAGCTGGGAAAGCTTGGGCCAGCAGGAAGCAAAAGAACTTGTAGGAAGCTGCCTCAAGTCGAGGGCTTTGGGACTGGACTGCAGCTAACTTTCTGCTGCATTTGCAAAGCAAAGGCCTTTAGCAAAAGCTAGCAGCAATTAGGAATCTTTGGCTGTTCCAGAGGAACCATTTTATTAACTAAATGCCATAAATGGCCCCACACTTCTACTACAGGCTGCCCGGTGACCCTGGGGCTTTTGCTTCCCAGCCAGCCTTCCAGTGAAGAGCAGCACGAAGCTTTGTGGATTCATTTTGAATTGCTGCTGGCAGCAGAAGCTTCCTAATGGACACAGTCTTAGTCTCGTTTGCTGCAGCGAGAATGGCTGCGTGGCTGCACTACTCCAGTTTGAGGCAGAGTCCAATTTGGGGCAGCCAGCTGCCATCAGAATGCAGATCATTACAAAAAGAATATCCCCGTCACAATCATTTTAGTTTTTCAAGTACTCTACGCTGTTTATTGGAGTGTACAGACAGCTCAGTGGCAGCTTTCCTACACCCCCAGACTGCACTGTGCGCCCAAGTCTGCTCAAGAGCCAGCCCCTGGGGGGCTGCGGGGGCCCAGGGGGCAGCAGAGGGGCCCCCTGCTGCTCCTTCCCTCTTGCTGCTTACTTTGCTGCTTATTTTGGGGGGTTTGGGGGCCCCTAAGGAGCAGCAAAGCCCTCGGGCTCCACGCGCCCGCAGCTCCCGTGCACTGGGGGCTGCGCCCGCGGGGCTGTTTCTGGAGAGAAGGCCTGCAACTGCTTCTGTTTCAGCAAATAATGCAGAAAATGAAAAACAGAACCCGCTAAGAGGGCGAATGCAGTGCGGGCAGCAGCAGCAGCAGCAGCAGCAGCAGCAGCAACAGCAATGGTGACTAGAGGTGCCCTGCTCAGTCGGGCCCCCTGCACGGCAGGCGCGAGAGCGACTCCGCCGCGCCGAAGGGAACCGAAATTTCCTTTTGCATTTATTTAAAATATAAAAATTAAACAAATAAATGGAATTAGGAAAGTAAGCAGCAAAGCATTGCCCCAGTGTGCCCGCCGCGGGTGGCGCCGTGTCGCTGCTGCAGCTGCTGCTGCTGCTGCGCTGAGCACGCGCTCTGGAGGCTGAATATGCTGCAGCAGCAGGGGGCGCAGCAGCCGAATCTAATTTCCAAATTGAAAGCTGTTTAGAGTTTCGGAGTTTATAAATTAAGGACAAGTAATTAAAGAGTTGTTGTATTTGCTTCTGTCTGTTTTGTCTCTTCGCTTCCCGCACCTCTTGGGATCGCCCGCGCTGCTGCTGCTGCTGCTGCTGCTGCTGCTGGAACTAAATGATAGGCAGCCCACTGAGCTTATTTACAGGCATTTTTCAGGTTTCAGTAAATAGGGAGAGCAAATAAGGCTACGCGGTAGTGCCACAGCAGCAGGAACGTTAGCAGCAGCAGCTGCTGGCGCTGCAGTGTCTCTGCAGCAGCAGCAGCTGCAGCAGCAAACTGCGCCCGTCTCAACGTGCACTTGTAGCTGCTGCTGATCGGCTGCGGGCCCAGCAAGTCCTCCGAGTTTTTGGATCTTTTTTGTTCGGGAAAAAACAGAATTAAAAGGTTTTATTAATTGTCTTTGCGGCAGTTTTGTTCCGGAGCCGCGCTTGTGCACGTACACCCGAGCGCTTGCTTGTCTCTCTGTCTGCTGCGCTCGAGGGGCTGCAGCAGCAGCAGCAGCAGCAGCAGCACCAGCAGCAGCAGCAGCAGCAACGGCAGCAAAAACAGACAATATTCATTCATAGTTTCTCCAGACTGCAGCCCTGGGAGCCGCCCTTCGCTGCACACCAAGGCGCGCAAGCCCATAGGCGCGTCCCGCCTGCTGCTGCTGCTGCTGCTGCTGCTGCTGGCCGCTGCGACGCAGCAGCAGCAGCAGCAGCAAGGCAAGCAGAAGTGCATCTTTCTTCAGTTGTCTGGCTGCCCAGGAACTGCGCAGCGCTGCGCTTCCGCAGCCTGTGCTGCTGCTGCTGCTGCTGCTGCCGCCGCCGCCGCCGCAGCAGCAGCAGCAGCAGCAGCAGCAGCTCCACTTTTCTCAATTCAACTTCTGCTTTAAGCCACAACAGACACTTCAGAAGAGAAGAGCTGCGAGCTCGGATCCCGCTGCTGCTGCAGCCGATCCCAGGTGTACGTACACCCCAATTTGCTGCAGCAGCAGGGGCAGCTGCTCCAGGGTGGGGCAGCAGCAAAAGGCTGCAGCAAAACACAACTTGCTTCTTGGCTCATTTGGCTCGCCAGACAGAGGGAAGACGATCCCGGGAGACGATCCCAGGACACGATCCCAGGAGACGATCCCGGAGACGATCCCAGGAGACGATCCCGGAGACGATCCCAGGAGACGATCCCAGGGGGATATCTGAGGGCAGCTTTTGCTGCTCTCTGTGGGACTCTACACGCCCTGCGGGCCAGTCAAAGCACTGAGCTCCCGCAGCTATACACAAGCAAGCAGCAGCAGCAGCAGCAGCAGCAGCAATAGCAGCAGCAGCAGCAGCAGCAGCAGCAGCAGCAGCAGCAATAGCAGCAGCAGCAGCAACAACAGCGCGGCGGGCTTCTGCACTTGAACATGGGGGTTCTCTCCAACCCCCAAATCTCATGCTTCGCAGCAGTACCCACCGCAATCCGCAGCAGCTAGCAGCAGCAGCAGCAGCAGCAGCAGCAGCAGCCGCAGCAGCAGCCTAGCCCAGCGTACGAGCGCGCGCGCAGAGGAAGAGCAGCAGGCGCTGCAGCGGCAGCAGCAGCAGCAGCAGCAGCATGAGGGACATGAACGAAGGCCCGACCCGGCTGGTCGGGGAGGGCGCAGCTGCAGCAGCAGCAGCAGCAGCAGCAGCAGCAGCAGCAGCAGCAGGCAGCAGCCTGCAGCTGCCGCGCGAGGCCCCCGAAGCCTCCGCCTACCTAGGGATGCGGGAAGAGGCCCTGGAGGGGCCCCAGGGGCCCCCGGGTACTGGGGGGCCCCCCCCCTCCCCCGTGGCGCAGCAGCTAAAGGCTTTGCTGCTGCCGCCCCTCTTCGGGGGCCCCCGCTGCTGCAGCAGCAGCTCTTCAGCAGATTCTCCTGCAGTCTCTCCGGCCCTCGAGGGGGCCCCTGGGCCCGCAGAGCCTCAGGGAAGTCCCACTTTGCTGCTGTCAGCAATGTCTGCTTTGGGGGCCCCCCTCAAGCCCCCCCCGCAGCAGCAGCAGCTGCTGCTGCTCAAGCAGCAGCAGCAGCAGCAGCAGCAGCAGCAGCAGCAGCAGCAGCGCGCTCCCGCCACCCTCGCGGGAACCGCTGCTGCTGCTGCAGCAAACGGAGACGGCCACGGGGCCCCCGCTGCCGAGGCCCTGCAGGGGCCTCCTCACTTGGAAGCAGGGGAGGGCGCAGGAGCAGCAGCAGCAGCAACAGCAGCAGCAGCAGCAGCAACAGCAGCTGTTGCTGCTGCGAAGGCCCTGGCCGGCAGATGGCCTGCGCCGGAGCCCGCGCTGGAGCCAGGCCTGGCGCGGCCGCCCACGCACTGCAGCGCGGGCCCCCCTCAAGAAGCAGCAGCAGCAGCAGCAGCAGCAGCAGCAGCAGCAGCAGCAGCAGCAGGGGACACCGACAGCTCCGAATTCACGGAGCCCCTAAATTGCTTGTCTTTAGAACGCCTCATTCTTCCAATCCCTTCGGACTTTGGGGCCCTTTTGGGTTTGGGGGCCCCTCCCAAGGGGGGCCCCCCACGGGAGCGGGCGCAGCAGCAGCAGCAGCAGCAGCAGCAGCAGCAGCAGCAAGGCAGCGACTGGGAGGGAGACGCCCCGGAGGCTCCGTGGCAGTTCGCCTCCCTTGCTGCCTCCGTCAGCCCAGCAGCAGCAGCAGCAGCAGCAGCAGCAGCAGCAGCAACGGAAGACGAAGAAGAAGCAGAAGAGCCGCTGCGCAGCAGAGAGTCTGCAGCAGGGCCCCAGGCGCAGCAGCTAACTGCTGAGGATCTGCTGCAGCAGCAGGGGCCCCCCCGTGCGTACTGGAGCGACAGCAGCAGAGCGCCGCAAAGAAAGGCTGCTGCTGCTGCTGCTGCTGCTGCTGCTGCGCGCAGCGTCCCCCGCAGCCGCAGCAGAGCCGTGGGGGCCCCCAAGAACCCGGGGGGCCCCACAAGGCAAAAAGGGTACCCTTCTTGTGACCTTTGTGCTTCTGAAGACAGGCTTGTATTCCTTTGTGCTGCAGCAGCAGCAGAAGGCTGCCTTGCTGCTGCACCTGCGGACCCCGAGACGCAGGAAGCAGCAGCAAACGCCATCGCAGCAGCAGCAGCAGCAAGGGGCCTCTTCGCCGAGGGCCCCTCGGGCAAATTTATGGAAGTGGTGGCTGGCTTGTGGGACCGAAAGGCTTCAGGAGCAGCAGATGCTGCTCAACCTGCAGCAGCAGCAGCAGCAGCAGCAGCAGCAGCAGCAGCGGGAGAAAGCGAGCACCAAGAAGAGGGCGCGCAGGAGCCGAAGCACTGCTCGCAGCAGCAGCAGCAGCAAAAAGCAGACTCCGAGCGCCCAGAGGGAGAGCAGCTCTCAGCGCAGCCTCAGCAGCAGCAGCAGCAGCAGCAGCAGCAGCAGCAGCAAAAGCCTGTGGAGAAGCCGGCGCTCACAGAGGCCGAGACAACATCTACCAGCAACAAGAGCAGCAGCAGCAGCGGCGACAAGGGCACCACCGCCACCACCACCGCCAACAGCAGCAGCAGCAGCAGCAGCAGCAGCAGCAGCAGCAGCAGCAGCAGCAGCAGCAGCAGCGCAGAGGAGGGCCCCTCAGAAGACATGCAGCTTCTTGCCTGTGGCTTTATGGCCCTCTCTTGCACAGGCACAAAACTGCCCACAGCAGATTGCCTGGCGGAGCTGCAGCGCATATGTGAGGGGCCCTTTTGTGGGGCCCCTGGGGGGCCCCCCGGGGTGGGTTCGGGGCCCCTGGGGGCCCCCCTGGGGGCCCCCCTGGGGGGCCCCCTGGGGGGCCCCCTGGGGGCCCCCGAGGCGGGCGGGGCGGCTTCGCTGTGCCGCGGGGACGGCCGAGACCGCGCGCGGCCCGAAGCGGCCCTTGCAGCAGCTTCGCTGGCCCCCGCAGCAGCAGCAGCAGCAGCAGCAGCAGCAGCAGCAGGAGGGGGCGCCGCGGGAGCGGGAGAGGGCGCGTGCGCAGCGTCTGGCGCAGCAGCAGCAGCGAAGCCGGAGCCCGGATCGCCCGCGGCTTCGGGCCGCGCAGCAGCAGCAGCAGCAGCAGCAGCAGCAGCAGCAGCAGCGGCGGGGGGCGAGTTGGGGGTCGCTGCGGAGCTGCTTTCGCGGGGATCTTTGTCGGAAGCTCTTGAGAAGGCCCCGAAGGTCTGTGGGGTCTCTTTGGACACTCAAAGACAGTCTTTTTTGTCTTATTTTCAATGCCAAAAAGCAGAAAGAAGAAGCCGCAGGGGCCTTTCGCCTGCGGGCCGCGGCCGCGGCCGCTGCAGCAAACGCTTCCAGTTCAGTTCTCCGCTGGAGTTCTGCAGGGCCTTTTGGCGGGCAGTTCTCTGGCGCCGGCTGCACGAGCTGCAGCGCGGGCACGAGGGCCGCCAGCAGCAGCAGCAGCAGCAGCAGCAGCAGCAGCAGCAGCAGGGGGCGCTCGCCGCGGCAGCCGCAGCCGCAGCTGCGGGCGCCGCAGCAGCAGCAGCAGCCAGGCTCGCCGCTGCAAGCGGCCACACTAAGCCCCCCAGGAAGCTGCTGCAGCTGCCTCCGGCGACGCCTGCAGCGCCAGCAGCAGCAGCAGCAGCAGCAGCAGCAGCAGCAGCGGGGGAGGAGGACCACCTGGTGCAGCACCCCGCCTTCGAAGACGCGGGCAGTGCTGCGAAACTCCTCCAGCTGCACCGCAGGGACCAGCAGCAGCAGCAGCAGCAGCAGCAGCAGGGAGCTGCAGCAGCAGCAGGGAATCACAGCAGCAGCGTTGCTGCTGCTTCTGTGGGAGATTTCTTCAAGCTCACGCCCAAGGGCGAAGGGACCACCAGCTTGGCCGCGCAAGCCATGGCGCCGCTAGGCAGCAGCAGCAGCTGGCCAGTTGCTGCGCAGCAGCAGCAGCAGCAGCAGCAGCAGCAGCAGCAAAGGATGCAGCAGGGTCCTGGGGACAGTCAAGAGCCCCTAGGGGACCCATCCAGCAGCACAGAAGAGCCAAGATTTGCTGCTCTGGGCCGCAGCAAGAGTTTGCTGCGCTCAGTCTCCTCCATGGGGGCCCGCGGCCGCTTAAGCGCTGCTGCTGCTGTTGCTGCTGCTGCTGCTGCTGCTGCTGCTAAAGACGACCGTGCTGCCTCAGGAGCCGCTGCAGGGGGAGGGCTGCTGCTGCGGCCCCTCAGCGGCCGCGCAGCGTCTGCGACTGCGCCCGCAGTAGCTGCAGCAGAAGCAGCTGCTGGGGGCAGGGCTGCAGCAGCAGCAGCAGCAGCAGCAGCAGCAGCAGCAAGCACTCCTGCTGCCTTCGGGCGCTACTTCAAGGGAACTCGGGGCTACAGCTCTTTGCCGCTAGCAGACGAGGCGGCGGGCTTGTCAGTGTCTTCACTAGCAGCAGCAGGACCGGGCGCAGCAGCAGCAGCAGCAGCAGCAGCAGCACCCAGCGTTGCCGCCGCAGCAGCAGCAGGGGGCCCCAGCGGAGCGCCGCGCGCGTCGCTGCCGCCGCTGGCGTTCGCCAGCAGCAGCAGCAGCAGCAGCAGCAGCAGCAGCAGCAGCAGCAGCAGCGCAGCGAAGAGCAGCAGCGGGGGCCCCCGGGGGGGCCCCTACTCGCCCGCAAGCATAGCGGAGGCCGTGGCGAAGCTGCCGCGGGTCTACGGGGTTTGCTTCGACAAGCAAAATGCTTCCTTCATGGCGCAGCTGCAGCACAAGGGAAGAAGAGAATGCAAACACTTCAAAATCAAAAAATACGGAGACATCAGCGAGGCTTATAATGCAGCTATTTCCTGCAGAAGAAAGATGGAGCATGCGCTTCTCGTGGCTCCTCGGGGGCCCCCGGGGGCCCCCGGGGGGCCCCCGGGGGCCCCCGGGGGCCCCGGGGGCCCCGGGGGCCCCGGCGGCCCGGGGGCCCCCGGGGCCCCCGGGGCGAAGCTCCACGAGGGGGGGCCCCTGGGGGGCCCCCTGGGGGCCCCCGACGCACTTGCTGCGGGCGCGGGGCCCCTGGAAGCAGCAGAATGCATGCAGCCAAGAAAAAGGGGCACTCAGAAGCAAAGAAGCAGCAAGAGGGGCCCCCCAGCCCTTCAGGGGGAGGGGGGGGGCCCCCTAGGGGGGCCCCCCAGGGGCCGGGGAGGGGGGCCCCGCGACCAGCAGGACCTCCAGGCCCACAAGCCCTCCGTCGCAGCAACAGCAGCAGCTGCTGCTGCTGCAGTTGCTGCAGCAGCAGCTGGCAGGGGCAGGGCTGCGGCGGCCCTCGCAGCAGCAGCTGCAACAAACCGAAGGGGGCACTTCAGGGGGCCCCCCGTTGGCATCAAACGCTTCGACCCCGACGGGGCCCCTCAGACTGCTGCTGCTGCTGCTGCTGCTGCTGCAGCAGGTGCAGACGCAGCAGCAAGGGCCTCGGAGGCAGACGTGCTGCAGCGGCTGCAGCTGCAGCAGCTAGGGGCGCTGCTGCTGCAGGGCTCTCTTAGTAGGGCTTTGCGGGCCTCGGAAGCTCCCCCAAGAGCCTCCACGACAGCAACAGCAACAGCAGCAGCAGCTCTAGCAGCAGCAGCAAACGCCCGCTGCAGCCGCAGCAGCAGCAGCAGCAGCAGCAGCAGCATCGGAAGCTCTTCCACAGCAAGAGAGGCCTCCTGGGGAAAAGCTGAGCTGCAGGCGCGCCTGCAGCGCAGCGCCACTGCAGCGCTGCTCTCGCTGCAGCCTGCTGCTGCTGCTGCATCCGACCGCCACAAGGAAGCAGCAGCAGCAGCAGTTGCTGCTGCTGCTGCTGGCTTGCCTCAGTCGCTGCTGCAGCTGATTCCTCCAGCCCCAGCAGCTCCCAGAAGCACCCAAGAAGCAGCAGCTGCTGCTGCTTCCGATGGGCTTGGGCTCATAAGTGCCCTTGCTCCAGCAGCAGCTGCTGCTGAAAGCTGCAGCAGCCACACAAGTGCATCGGGCAGCCTTGCTGCTGCTGCTGCAGCAGCAGCAGCAGGCTGCTCTCCAGTGATGACGCTGTGGTCCCAAGGCAAACTAGCTGCAGCAAATTTAGCAGCAGCAAACTTAGCAGCAGCGAACTCAGCAGCAGCAACAGCAGCAGCAGCAGCAGCAGCTCCTCGGAGGCCACAGCCCCAGGCACACACTTGCCTGACAGACAACAACGCAGAAGGCCCCCAGAAGAAGCGAAGAATTTCTGCTGCTGCTGCTCTTGAAAAGCGCTGCAGCAGCCTCTCGGAGGCCAGCCCTGTGGGGCTCTTAGCTGCCCCGCAGCAGCAGCAGCAGCAGCAGCAGCAGCAGCAGCCGCTTCAGCAGCAGCTGCTGCTTTCGACTATAGCGTCTGGAACTGCAGCGTCTGCACTTTTGGATACGCCGCAGAACTTTCTCGTGCACCAGCAGCAGCAGCAGCAGCAGCAGCAGCTCCAGCCGCAGCAGCAGCAGCAGCGGCAGCAGCAGCAGGAGCCGCAGCTGCCGCGGGCCCAACTGCAGGCCCTACTCGAGCTAGCCACGCTGCTGTCGAGCGGGACTGAGCAGCAGCAGCAAGCGCTGATGCTGTTGGCAGAGACTGCTGCTGCAGCGAGCAGCAACGCCAGCAGCAGCATCAGCAGGAGCTGCAAAAGCAGCAGCAGCAGCAGCAGCAGCAGCAACAGCAGCAGCAGCAGCACTCAGATGGAGGCCCAAGTCACAAGAGCTGCTGCTCTCGCTACCATAGAGAGAGCTCTTGCTGCTTTAACTGGCAGCCACCAGGACCTGCCTGGAGCAGCAGCAAACGCGTCCGCAGCAGCAACAGCAACAGCGCCAGCACCATCGGCAGCAGCAGCAAGGACGACAGCAGCAGCAGCAGCAGCAGCAGCAAGAGCAACAGCAGAGGATCTACCTTCCGCAGCAGCTTTGCAGCTGCTGTGCCCCGCAGCTGCGGCCCCCCAGACCAAACCACAAAGGGGCTCCCATCTTTGGGGCCCTCTTGTGCAGTTGCTTCAGCAGCAGCAGCAGCAGCAGCAGCAGCAGCAAGCCAGAAGCAACGAGCAGCAGCAGCAACTCAGCGATCCTGCTGCTGCTAGAAGACTTATGTGGGAGAGGAACTCAGCGCTGCACGGCTGCAGCTCGCTCGAAGAAGCTGCAGCAGCAGGGGCAGCAGCAGCACCCTCAGTGAAGGCAGCAGCAGCAGCAGCAGCTGCTGCTGCTGCTGCAAGCGCTTCTGCAGCAGCTTCAGTTGAGAGAGCAGCAAGAAGCACTGCAGCACCAGAGTACTAGCAAGGAGAGGCTCCCCACAGCCTCGGCTTCAGGTGTACAGACACCTCCTCTTATTGCTGCACTTCAGCAGCAGCAAAACAATGACTCAAAAGTTTCTTACCTTCAAGACTATGTGGGGCCCCCCAGGGGCCCCAAAGGCTGCCGGGGGGCCTCAAATACCCCGGGGGCCCCCTGGGGGCCCCCCGAGGGCCCCTTAGGGACTTAAGACTCCTACGGAATTTGCAGGGAACTGCAGCAGCTGCAGCAGCAGCTGCAGCAGCAGCTGCAGCAGCAGCTGCAGCAGCAGCTGCAGCAGCTGCAGCAGTTGCGGCAGCTGCAGCAGTTGCGGCAGCTGCAGCAGCCAAACTACCCTCAGGGCCCCACAAGCCCTGGTAGAGGGCCCCAGGGGCCCCCAAATGACATGAAAGGGGGCTTTTAGGGGCCCTTGAGGGGGCCCCAAGAGCGGGGGGCCCCACAGGGGGCCCCTGGGGCCCCCTGAGGGTCCAGAGGGGGCCCCTGAGCGGGGCAGCTCTTGCAGACTGAGGGAAGCTGGGGGCGGGGGGGGCCCCCCGGGGGGCCCCCCAGCTCCCGCCTTAAAAGGGGGCCCCTTAGGGGCCCCAACAAGCTTGGTTTGTAAAACATAATGCACTGGAAGTCCCCTTAGGGGGCTGCAGCAGCTGCTGCTGCTGCAGACCCCAGCAGCAGCTGCTGCTGCTGCAGAACCCGCTGGAAGAGACCCAGGGGGGCCCTGGGGCCCCGCCAGGGGCCCCCTGGCGCAGCAGGGGGCCCCCACCGCATCCCCAGGGTTCGCTTTTGCTGCAGCGGTGCAGCAGCGCCTGCTGCAGCAGCAGAAAAGAGCTGCTGCGCCGTCTTAAGAGCAGCAGCAGAGAATGAGTTTTGAAAGCCTTTGCTGCTGCTGAGGAAGAGCCCTTCGTGAAGATCCACTTCGTCTTTTGCTGCCCCTGCTGCTGCTGCTGCTGCTGCTGCTGCAGCTGCCACGGCGAACAGAGACGCAGCAGCAAAATCAGCAGCACAGTTGTGCTGCTCCGACTGCACGGGAGTCAAGGCCCAGCAGCAGCAGCAGCTGCAAGACAGACTGTCTGCAGCTGCAGCAGGGGTTCCAGCTTGCAGCAGCAGCAGCAGCAGCAGCAGCCGGACTCGTAGGCTTCCGCGAATAAAGAAAAAGAGCGCCAAGAGCGCTCTTCCGCTACCGCAGCAGCAGCAGCAGCAGCAGCAGCAGCAGCATTTGAAAGCGCCTGCTGCTGCTACACGGATGCCTTGAACCGCCGGCAGGAGCAGCGTGAGGAGGAAGCGCCCGCTGCAGCAGCAGCGGCAGCAGCAGCAGCAGCAGCAGCAGCAGCAGCAGCAGCAGCAGAAAGCGTCACTGTATTGAGCTTCTGACGGCGCTGAGTGTCTGCTGCCGTCTCAAACATATTTTAAACGAAGCCGCTTCTGGCTCGCAACGCGCTGGCGCTTTCTTGAGAATCATTCAATTCAAGTTGCACTGCGACTTGCTGCTGCTGCTGCTGCTGCTGTTCTTGCTGCTGCTGCTGCTGCTGCTGTTGCTGTCCTTGCTGCTGCTGTTGCTGTTGTTGTTGCTGCTGCTGTTGCTGTTGTTGTTGCTGCTACTGATGCTGTTGTTGCTGCGGTTGGAGTTGCTGTTGCTGCTACTGTTGTTGTTGCTGCTGTTGCAGTTGCTGCTGCTGTTGCTGCTGCTGCTGCAGCAGCGGGCGCCTGCTTCCCTGCTGCTGCGGGGCTGCTGCCTAGCAGGCCTCAGTGGCATAACTAAGGAGTTCTTCCTTGGGCAGCCAGCGTCGAAGTAATCAGGCAGCACGCAGCAGCTAGCTAGCTAGCTAGCTAGCTAGCTAACTATCTGAATAAGTGGCTAGCTGGCTAGCTGGCTGAGTGGCTAGCTGGCTAGATGGCTTTAGAAGCAGCCCAAAGAGGCCCCTAATTGAATCTTAAAAAAAAAAAAGATTTTAAATTATTTTAAATTCAGCAGCAAAGAAAAAGCAGCAGCAAACTAAAAATTTAATTACACCTTTGTGAGGCCAAAAGCCAGAAGCTGGTGATTTATTTATTTCCAAATTTTAAATCTTTTACGCATTTAATTCAAAGCAATTAAACCTGAGCGGCTTCAGCAGCAACAGCAGCAGCACGGGGGAAAAGCGTTCTTAAAGGCCTTTCCAGTTGCGGGCCAGTGTATGTACACCTGCGCAAGTTTCCACTAGTTGTTATTTGTGAAGGAAATGAAATTTATTTATTTATGTTTATTTGGAGAAGTACTTATGAATTATAAATCATTTATAGATCTATTTATAGCTTTTATTTCCATTAATTCATTTATAAATCTATTTACAACTTAACTGTCCATTTGTATCTCTTCATAAGTTATCTTTCTATATAAAATTTAATTAGCTGCATATAATATATGTAGCCACAAATAGACATATATGTAACAATATGTATGCATGCATATATAGATATACATATACATATATATACATACATATATATATATATATATATATATATT